TCTGCTGTGGTAACACACACACACACACACACATCCAGATGGTCTCTGGAGAACAGAGACATCCCATGTGTCCAGTTACAACATGAAAGCAACAGGTACGCAACTTAAGTACCCATCCATCCACCCATCCCCTCCACCCTTTTAAAGATGCATGGTGAGGGAGGGAGGTATTTACAGAATCATTTGTTATACGCAGTCTCTGTAAGAACAGGGATATGTCTAAGGTTAGCAGTCATCTTTCCATACAAAAGTTTCAGTTGTGTAAATAGCATGGACGGCATGGCTAGCATGTCCACTAGCCACAAGCATGGTTATGTATCGACTATTTGTCTTTTAATTAGCTGAAAAATTTGTTTGGCATTTTGGGAAGTACGCTCATCAAACTTCGGTTATTAGGTATCCAGTGAAGATGGAAGTACTCGTTTTTACAGATATGTAATTGTACAGACTATACAAACACGATACAGTGTGTTTGTATAGCCCTATATTTTAGTTCTGTGACTCCTGTACGGCAGCTTTGCAAAGCCCACTGTCTTCTGATTTATGTGTTTACCAGGGGCCATCACCCTTTTGCAACATTTGCGAATTGAACGGCATGTTTCCTTGCAACATTGTGCAACGTTGTGCAACGTTGTGCAACAGGCTTCGAGGTATGTTTTCTCCCGTTTGGTGGGCATGTTTCATGTGTTACCCAATCAGCTGCGACAAGTTTGTAAACACAACGATGTTAAAGACAGGAAAATTCTGTGCACTTGCGTACACAGCAGGGTGTTCAAGGACTCAAATGGCAATACCTCAAATGGGAACTCAGCCCATGTAAACCTGTTCTGGGACAACCCCTAAATGAGATTTCAAACCTGAAAATTAGCATAATATGACCTCTTTAAACCTTAAAAAGGCAGTTTACTAATGGAAACAGCCGTTAATATTTATGTAAATGGAATGATTTGAGCATGTGTTTCCTATACCACGGCTAACTTCACAACAACTTTTCAGCAGTGAGCCACAAGCTGACCCGTGAACCACCCAGCAGAGAAGCATAAGCCAGCAAAGATACAAAGACAGAGATCAAACACTTCTCTTTCAGTCTTAATGTTAAAGACTATACAGTAAAATCAAAATAAAAACCTGTTAAGTAACTAGTCTGATGTTGTATTGCATTTGAAAAAAGAGCGGACAAAGTGAAAGTGATATAGTTATGGCTGGCAGACATGTTGTAGCAATAAAGTTGTTGAAACAAATATATTCAAAAGCAGATTGTTGAAAATTCTGCTGCTAGTCACACTGTGTAGAGGTTGAAGAGTTGAAAATTGTTGTCTTTGTAAAAATTGCTCTACAAGAAAGAGAGAAAAACATGTTCCTGTTTCCCTACACTCGTGTACATACACACCTCTGCTGAATCACCTTAGATAAAATCATCTCCACAGTACAACAGCGATTGTTTTCCCTCTCGCAAAATGTGAGAATGCTGCTTTCATTTCTAAGAAAAATGTCAAGTTGCCCGTCAAGATCAGGTCTGCAGAATTTACATTGGCTTGTCTCCATGGAGGAATTATTTGCGTACATGTGTCGTCCCATTTCCTGATCCACATCTGGTTTTGTCTGATCAGGATGTGTATCTTCAAAAGAGAATATGTATATCAACCGGCAGTGCTATGGCTTTCAAGTTAATCACAGAATACTTGATGATCTCTGTTCTTTCAGTTTCCTAAAAGGTGAAGTAAATTGTTTCATCGCTTCATGCAAATACTCAACATTTGGGTAATACATTAAGTCCCCTTATTTAGCATTTATAAGCAGTGTACAAACATTTAATGCACCATTATGTAGCAGATATCATATCACGTTGTATCATGTTTGTTTAACCCTGCATTTTTGTACTATTTCCATCTATCAGTCTTTCAAAGTCGCTTTTTAGCTTGTGGATGTATTGCACATTTTATGCTTTAGCATAACCAGGATTAAAATAGAATTTTTATTTAAAGTGACTAGCTGCATTTAGGATTTATGACAACTTACATAGAACAAAATGTTACAAGATGCATTTTATTACAACTCTGAAGGGTTCGAATATGATGGCTCTTTACGTAACAGTAACACAACTAATCAGTGAAGTTCTGGTGAAACTGACAGCAACAATGGGCTTACAACAGACTCAGAACAAGAAAAAAAATTAACTCTGAACGTTTCTACTTTGGTAATCACTCTTTTACAGAAGTTTCACTGAATTGGTTTTAACCTCCTGTATTATTGTTTCATTTGGAAACCTAATCCTGTCCAATAAGAATAGACTTGAAAGTCCTGTTAAAACTGCCTGTAAGATCCAGTAAGACCATCCACTCTAGTGGCAATTTGAGCTATCACCTCCGGCTGCCGTTTCAGGCCACCTGTTCAGAGGAGTTGCTATTGATAATAATGTCACTAATGTTTCCAACTTCATAGTGGTCCTGGTTCAATTCCTGGAATGTGAATTATTTAATAATAAATAAATAATAGAGGACAATATTCAGTGAGGTCTTTCCAGCCCTTCCCCCCATTAAGTAGAATGGGACACAAACAAACTGATGCTCAAATGTTGTTTGGATCACTATACAGGTACTGGTCATATAATTATAATATCATCAAAAAGCAGATTGATTTCAGTAATTCCATTCAAAAAGTTAAACTTGTATAATGTATACATTCATTCCACACAGACTGATATATTTCAAGTGTTCATTTCATTTAATTGTGATGATTAAAACTGACAACTAATGAAAATCCCAAATTCAGTATCTCCAAAAATTAGAATATTACTTAAGACCAATACAAAAAAAGGATTTTTTAGAAATGTTGGCCAAGTGAAAAGGATGAACATGAACAGCACTCAATACTTAGTTGGGGCTCCTTTTGCCTGAATTACTGCAGCAATGCGGCGTGGCATGGAGTCGATCAGTCTGTGGCACTGCTCAGGTGTTATGAGAGCCCAGGTTGCTCTGATAGTGGCCTTCAGCTCTTCTGCATTGTTGGGTCTGGCGTATCGCATTTTCCTCTTCACAATACCCCCTAGATTTTCTATAGGGTTAAGGTCAGGCGAGTTTGCTGGCCAGTTAAGAACAGGGATAGCATGGTCCTTAAACCAGGTACCGGTAGCTTTGGCACTGTGTGCAGGTGCCAAGTCCTGTTGGAAAATGAAATCTGCATCTCCATAAAGTTGGTCATCAGCAGAAAGCATGAAGTGCTCTAAAACTTCCTGGTAGACGGCTGCGTTGACCTTGGACCTCAGAAAACACAGTGGACCAACACCAGCAGATGACATGGCACCCCAAACCATCACTGACTGGAAACTTTACACTGGACTGCAAGCAACGTGGATTCTGTGCCTCTCCTCTCTTCCTCCAGACTCTGGGGCCTTGATTTCCAAAGGAAATGCAAAATTTACTTTCATCAGAGAACATAACTTTGGACCACTCAGCAGCAGTCCAGTCCTTTTTGTCTTTAGCCCGGGCGAGACGCTTCTGCCGCTGTATCTTGTTCAAGAGTGGCTTGACACAAGGAATGCGACAGCTGAAACCCATGTCTTGCATACGTCTGTGCGTGGTGGTTCTTGAAGCACTGACTCTAGCTGCAGTCTACTCTTTGTGAATCTCCCCCACATTTTTGAATGGGTTTTGTTTCACAATCCTCTCCAGGGTGTGGTTATCCCTTCCCTTCGCCTCTCTATTAATGTGCTTGGACACAGAGCTCTGTGAACAGCCAGCCTCTTTAGCAATGACCTTTTGTGTCTTGCCCTCCTTGTGCAAGGTGTCAATGGTCGTCTTTTTTACAGCTGTCAAGTCAGCAGTCTTCCCCATGATTGTGTAGCCTACAGAACTAGACTGAGAGACCATTTAAAGGCCTTTGCAGGTGTTTTGAGTTAATTAGCTGACTACAGTGTGGCACCAGGTGTCTTCAATAATGAATCTTTTCACAATATTCTAATTTTCTGAGATACTGATTTGGGGGTTTTCATTAGTTGTCAGTTATAATCATCAAAATTAAAAGGAATGAACATTTGAAATATATCAGTCTGTGTGGAATGAATGTATAAATTATACAAGTTTCACTTTTTGAATGGAATTACTGAAATAAATCAACTTTTTGATGATATTCTAATTATATGACCAGCACCTGTATAACACCACACACACAAGGAGGGGTTACAACCAAATGTGATAGCCCACTATTGATATGTTGATTAACAGCAAGATTGACCTATTAGTTTGGTGCAAGCATCACTTAAACGGTGGGCGGGACTCCAGCGTTTTATCCGGGATTGATAGGGTTGATCGGTACACAAAATTTAACAGTTTGTGTTTTTAATGGCAGTTACTTTGTGTAATTAATTCCTGACAAGCAAAAGTATTTCTATGTAAGAACTTCTGTGAAGCATCCTCATTGGGTGCTTGGCTACTTCACTCTGACAACAAGACTTAGAAGTCAGCACACCCAACTGGTGTTTGCCAAAAAATAGTCATAGACCATTACCTCTAAAACTACAATTTCTTTTTGTGCATAGATTTATTAGTGAGTGTTAGAGGTGCAGGTAGGTGAATTATTGAAGTTCAAAGACAGCTAGGCTAGCCGTTTCCCTCCGATATCATTTTTATGCTAAGCTAGGCTAATCGCCTCCTGGCTCCAGCTTCAACACAGAGACATGAGAGTGGTATCAACATTTTCATCTAACTCTGGAAAAGAGAGCAAACCAATGCATTTCCCAAAATGATGAATTATTCCTTTAATGCTAGAAATGGAAGTCAGTAACATGGTTACCACAGGTAATGCGACTTGCAAACCAATTTTACTTCACCTTTGTGACCCATGAATTCTCTTTTGGGAAGTCAGCGTATGAAGTGCTAAAAAATTTAAGGTGAAGAAAGAAATTACATTAATAGTACAGACACACTTAAAATGTTAATATTCTCCAAAAATAACCTTGAAAAGTGAGTAAATAATTACAGGACCCCTCCAAAAACAACCCAGACATTTTGGGCATCAAACCCATTTTATTTAAACTTAATGCAGTTTAATCCAACACAGTTAGTGCACATGCAAAGTATCATATTTAAATATATACTGTATGTTTGTACCAAGTGTCATGTTTTAAAAGTTTAATATTTTCAACATTTAAGTAATAAATTAACAAAATTGAAACATTACTGAAAACACCGCCCACAATGAGTATACACTTTTAATAAAGCAAAAAATACATGATAAATTCGTACAACTGAAATGTTTGTGTTTGTACTTTTTTTTTCTCCAGAAAATATTTTTTTAAAACACAAATTCAGTGTAAGACACCAGAAAGAAAAACAAAATCACAATTAGACAAATTTCTTTGTCTTTACCATGAGAAAAATCATAATACGTCTTTCACTTAAAGGTATTATGTGTAGGATTTCCACTAAATATCACACTACCTAATGAAATAACATATGTGCTACACTTTATAGTCACTATGAACCTCTTAATAGCAGCAAATCTGATTATCTTCCCCCTTTTGCTTCTAAATATTCAGCTGCCAGTCTGACAATAAAGAAGCAAAAGTGACTGACTTCATCCAAAATCAACAGTCCATTTTTCAGGATTCATCAGCAAATCAAGAATCACTTAATGTTTAATGAAACAAATGAATATTGAGTAGATCTCAAGAGGTAATGTTGGAACACCACGGTCACATCCATGGTCCAAGTTATAATTTAACAGTAATACATGTTCTTTAATTAGAGAATACTACACATAGCACCTTTAAAAAAACATGTTCATGATAAACTGTTGCTCAGCTCATGATAAATGAAAATACAGTAAGAAATTGTCAAACGGTGCACAAACCATTAACAGAAGAAAATAAACAATCACAGTTGAAGAAGCAACTACAGCATAACCATGGGGGTACAGCTATAAAAAGTCTGGTACCGACGAATTAAATATTCTGTCACAGAGAACCACTGACTGTTGACATTTCTGACATGTTGCTGAGAATTTGATATGTCAGCATCTTTGAAGCAAGCAAATGGACACAAAATATTTTCATTATGTGCCTGAGTGATGGAGGTAGAAATGTCCAATGCTGGGCTAATGGTAGTAATAATATCCAGCATAGGCAAGAATGAATTATACAACCATTTAATTACCTCAAATATCTGTGTTATATTTAATAATAGAAGTAGCATATGGCTTACCAGTGGCACAGTCTGCAACCTCTCTCTGGACTGTCAAAAGTGCATCTACTTTTGCCGTAGAGGGGAAGGTTAGGCTTGTCATGGCAGGAGGCTTAAAGAAAAAGTTAATCATCTTGGGAAACACATTTATTTGCTTTCTTGCTGAGTATTAAATGAGACCAGTGATGCCAATCTCATGGCTGTACAGTAATTATGAAGCTACACCCAGCAGCCAGTCAGCTTAGCTTAGCACAAAGACTGGCAACAGGGGGAAACGGCTAGCCAAAGCTAAGTGCTAAAGCTCAGTAATTAACACATTGCATCTTGTTTGTTTGTTTGTACATAAACCCAAGTTTAAAACAGATACTTCACCGTTGCTTGACTAAGTTGCTTGTCATGGCCAAGAAATAGCCTGATATACAAACAAATGAGATGCAACATGTTAATCAGCGAGCTTTAGAGGTGCTGGTGGGTAGATTTAGTTTCCTTTTATGAGCCTGGCTAGCTGTTTCTCCCTGTTTCCTGTCTTTATGCTAAGCTAAAATAGCCAGCTGCTGGCTGTAGCTTCATATTTACTGTACAGGCATGAGAGTAGTTATCAAACGCCTCACCAAAGTCTCAGCAGAAAAGCAATATATTTTCTAAAATGTCAAACTTTTCCTTTAAGTCCTCCAAGAACACTGCCAGACACCAGTGTTACTGACTTTACAAGGCTTCCATTAGAATAAAGTCAACACTATGACAGTGCAAAGTTTGACTTTTAACGCAGAAAAAAACCACATACATTTTAAACTAAATAAGATTATAAAAACATAGCCAGTACATCTTAATAGCTTATAAAACTAATTAAAAATGGTGAGTATAAAATAGACTACAGGTCATGAGAGCAGATCAACACAGGCTGAACAAAAATAAAATACAGGCCTCACATCAATCTATTCCATCATATACTTTTAACTGTCTATATAGAGAAGTTGGCAGAACCAGCTGAACCTGAAGTGCTGCCACTCCGGTTTATGTTCTTCTCTGCAACAATTGAGTTAAAATCACAACATCGTTAGACGTTAGACATGATCCCACCCACTTGCAGCTGCTATCTACTTCTGTGAATGTCACTTCTGTTTTCAATGTGTCAATCAGTAAGGCTGCTGTATGTCCCCAGTGATGTTCACTAAATGCACTAAACTTACAGATAATAGTTGGAGGGAAGGTGTGGAGAAATATGTACCGGTGTTGGCTTGCTGGCTGATGCCGCCCACAATGACAAGCCTATGAAAAAGGCAAAGAAGAGCCTTGTGTTTTTGTGATAACTTTCCTCAAAAAGAAAAATCATTTCAGCCAAATGAGAACTAACGTGGCAGTTCTCCACATTTGACAGGCACACAAAGTTACAGACTGGCCTTAAATGTTCAAATGGCTTTGTTTGTCATCTTTTACACCGAGCCGATCACAAGCAGATGGCCTCATTTCAGCGAACTGAGGGTTTTGTTAATTTTAGAAATCTTTGTTTATTTTAAAATTTATATCAACTTTGGAATGCAGATCATTTTCTAATGAGTTATTCCACAAGTTCATTATTCCCACTACGGGTTCATCTTATACTGGACAAGACGACGGCAATGGAAAACCGTGAGCACCATTGGGAATCTTCCAATACTCTCAACACATGTTGAGATCCACTTAGACCTTATTTAACTGAAAACTAAAGAAAAGATTGTCACATGGAGGAAGAGAAGTGGAGAAAATAAGGAGGTACAGGAGTGAGAGCACTGATCTGACAAGGATAAGGTGCCAAATAAAAAAATTTCTGAAAGCTAAAAAACATTTAAAGATATTATGGTGGCAAAAGAGTAGTTAAAATAATTTTGTTTATAAGCCCTGTTAGTGTTACCGTTTCTGTTCTTTTTGTGATTTACTCTACATGCCTCATGGAAGTAACACATAACACTAACAGTACAGTGGTCATTTTCATGGTTTTGTGTCCTGATATAAGTAGATACATCCTATTGTTTGTATGCGTTTGAAATCCTGCTTACAAATTAACAATTGACACCAACACCACAAAGAGAATCTGATTTAGTGTTGGGTATCTACTATTATTCAGGTTTGGGTGCTCCACAGGGATTCATCTTTCTCTTTCCAAGAAAACCAATAAAATTAAAATAATTCAAGCAGTTCCAGCAAACTATACAATCCTACATCAAGGAATGATCTTCAACGGACAGACGGACAAAGAAGCTCAATGACTGGGCATAAATATGGCTTTAGGGTTCTGCATATATTCCTAAACAGTATGGGTAGAAATTACTCTCCTAAATGTTTGACTCAGTGTGTGAAACCAACCATATTTAGTTTGGTTGATTCAAATTCCCTTGACTTTGTTTGTGTATATAAGAACAATGCATTTGTACCACCGCATAACTGCACTGAGATGCCCTAAAATGATGCTCAGTCCTCTGCTGAGAGATTCAGTAGGGACAAGAACATACACTTAACCAATGGGGGGAAAACTGACAAAAAACCCACAAGGTTTTATGTGTAAAAAAAAAAAAAAAATAGACCAATGTTGACATTTGATTGTCAGCTGTTCCTCAGGTTAAAAAAGCCTAGAAGAACAAAATAAATCCTGGACTGATTCTCATATTCACCTCAAGTATTTTTTTTTTTTCCATTTTTATACCAGACAAGGTAACCTGCCTCACAGAGAGCAGACAAATACATCAACAGTAAGTTGTATAATGGGGACCAGAATTTCGGCTCTATGATTTTGCTTTGACATCTTCTATATGTTCGAGGTGTTACTAACATTGCAGTTAAATCTCTTACAAAAAATAACTAACATACAGCACTTTACCTTTTAGTCAACAAACGACCAAATTAATCAGGCAGGTAATTTTTAAAAATCATTTAACAGTCCAATTGAACTCAATAAATGTTGTCACACATACAGCTTGTAACTTAATAACTTCTACAGGTGCACCGAGGAGAGTTGAACTCTCACTTATGCGTCACTGTGGCTGAAGATGTGCGATGGATCTAACTATAATAATGCATAAATAAGGAGTTGTGTTACCTGTTTTAAGTGAGCAGTTATTTTCTAAAAACAGTATTGTCTTTGCGTTGTAACTTGCATATTTTTAACAAAACTATAAAGGTGGGGAGAATCTTCCTTTTCACATATTAATTACTAAATGAAGTACCAGCCCTTTTTGAATGAAGAAAATACTAACATATAGTAAGAACTGTACGAACTTGGTTGCCTTTAAACTTCTAAAAGTGATTTGGAAATATAATAATAAGCACGCTGGTCATCATCACATCCAGAGATCAACCCTGAATATGACCAACAGTTTGAGTATTTGGACCTGAGATTTTGGCAAACTGCTGTTGAGATTCACTTTGTGAGATTAGGTTTGTGTGTTAATGACCATCTGAGATTTACTACACAGAACCTACTAAATGAAGTCATTTGCTCCTATACCTGCATTAATGTGTTCAAAATGTAACCTTAACATGCTGGGTAGAAAATTAACTCTCTAAAGGATTTAGCCTTTATACCATTGTCCTCTCTACTGTATTTCCAGTTTGTCTTTATCTCAGAAAAATATAGGCAACATAAAGTCAAAAGAAGAATTCCTTCAAAACTCTAAAAATGGAATTAAGACTTGTCTATGTCGAAGGTATTTAAGGTTATTCACTGACATGTTCGGAAAACTAACGATAACCCATTGCAGGATTGTGCTTGAGAACAATGACACACTCAAAACTAAAATTAGGCCCTCTGTGAGGTGGTAGGTGTATGGTTTTTCTGTAAAGTGAAACAATACCACAACACATTTTGCTTGTAGAAGAAAAAGTCTTATGAATATGTTCTAACAGAGTGAGAGTTGTTTTCAGTGACACTGAGTGATTGTTTAGCCCGGGGTACTATGGTAAGTATTGCTTAAAGGCTGTGGGTCAAAGAACTTAACTGAGGCATGCTTGAACAAGTGGTGGTTAAAACACATCCAACACCTCGATCGATACAAGGCCCCACCATTGACTAGCATAGTTTTTGCATTACTGGATCATGGCTTAAAGGAATACTCTACTGTTTTTTTCCTTTATTTTTTTGACCATATCTCTTTATCTTTAATGGCATGCTAAAATGTTAGTGAGCCGAGGCTAACCAGGAGCACAGGGCTGGTTAGCATCATAGCTTAAAATGTTAGTGAGCCGAGGCTAACCAGGAGCACATGGCTGGTTAGCATCATGGCTTTAAATGTTAGTGAGCCGAGACTAACCAGGAGCACATGGCTGGTTAGCATCATGGCTTTAAATGTTAGTGAGCCGAGACTAACCAGGAGCACATGACTGGTTAGCATAATGACTTTGCAATGAATACTGGGTGTTCTAGGAATGGCTGAAACAAGTTGCAATTTGACTAAGCTGAATGGTAGAGGTCTTTTTCTCAGCCAATATCAGGTGTCTGTAAAGTGTTTTCTTGCTTTTATAAATTCAGATAACATTCAAGAGCCTACACTAAAAGCAGTGGAGTATTCCTTTAATCAAGGGCAGGCAAATGAAATCAATGATATGCAGCCATTTAAAACAGATGGCACAGTATATGAAAACAAAGAATCAAGAACAGACAAATGTGCCAGTGCCAACCAGCTATGGCAAATTTGTTTTTCAGGAAAAAATAATTAAGACCACTAAGAATTCAAAAGGTAAACAGGATAAAGATACCTGTTGGCAACAAGACAAGGGGCCCACCTTTCATCATGTACCAATAAGCAAAAAGGCAATACAGGATGAAGAGCCATGAGGGGAAGAGTGGATGTGCTGGGCCAGTGTTTGATTTGATTTGGAATAAACGGTATAAAGAGGGTTGGTTAATACTAGTTACACATTGGTGGAGATCTTGTACTTGGGAGACATATTGTTATGGAACCAGATGAAACTAAAAATGACGCCCATGGTTTTGGGTATACGCTCGTTGTAGGCAAACGTCATGGCCTCGTGCAGCGGGACTTTGACCACCTCGATAAGCTCTCCCTCCCGTGGCTCACCTCCACCTGCGCTCACGCAGTTGTCGTCAGACACCTCGGCGTAAAACATGGTCTGCTTGGCACCTGTAACACCTACACCTGACCTGTAGGGGGGAATCAGGGAAAGAAAAAATAAATTGGTACTTATATTTACAATAATTCTTCAAGTTTTTACAGGGTTGGGTATCGTTTGAAAATTTCAATCAGATGCCACAACAATAATTCACCAAAGCTTTTTAAACTCCTCATTTTTCATTAATAAATCATGCAACTAATTTAGATAAGGGGTCCTAATTCTAATGTTTCTTTAGCAGTTATTTCACACAGACAGACAAAAACAGCAAGACACAGAGTGTATACTTTGTAGAGACACACATGAAAGCTGTAAAGCTCTGTCTTTAAATGCGGGTAATAAGCAACATACATAAACACCAGTATTTTTGAGGAATTTCTTTGCCATTTAAAATCAAACTGACCTCGGGTTGCCTACTATTAGCGCAGAACCTCACCACACGGTGTGCTTCTGTGAAACACACCCTCATAGGGGTCCTGAGGGTTAAGTTGATACCTGCGTATTTAATGGGAGCAGCCCACACATAACAATGGTCATAGACAACACCAACAAAACCAGAGGAAGTGTTGAAGTCAAACCAAAAGCACAGCTATGACAGCTGTTAGTCATAGCTGTCCAGGTGCTGCTGTTTAATATGGGACTGTTCTTCTACGGGAGCTTCCACCTCCTGTGTCAAGCTATAGTAAGCAAATAATATGTTGACAAAGATGAATAGTTTCCCATTCCAGCTCACTTACATTCACCTCTTATCATTATGGAACTTCCTCAATAGTTCTGTCACCAACTTTAGATTGGATTTTTGTGTCTTGATATATTTCCAATGTCATTTTCAAACCAGTTTCTTGAAAATACATGCTTTCCTTTAGGGTGCAGCATCTTGTGTGGACTTTCACAAAGCTAAATTTAAAGCGATTAATACTTTATACTTCTGGCATGTTTATTGGCCTGAATTGCTAAATTTATAGAAATGAAAATGTCACTCAAAGAAAGCTACCTATCCATATGTTGCTGTAGACATTTAGATCTTTTTTCCCCCACCATGAAAACTTTCAGAACTCATCCATTAAGAGCTTTTCAACACCGTTTAAAGCCTACAGGCGTGAATGTTTGATGAATAAAAGGGGTGGAGTATCACACTAAGATGTTTTTAATGCTACCTGGAATTGAATTTTAAAACAATTACTCAAACTAAAGACACAAAGCTGCAAAAGTAGGTTACTTCTGAGTGAACATAGCCCAAGGCGGTTCATTAATTATAAATGAAAATGATACAAAATAGGACAACAGGAAATTAATTGTTAAGGGACAAGAAATCTAATGGGAGCAAATATTTAAAAGACAATGACAAAGCATTGTCCTCAAACGTCTTTGTGTTGGGAGTCAATAATAAAAAAAACACTAAAAGCCTCTATTAGGTTTATTTATACATAGTATTACTCTACTTAAACCTCATAAAGATATATCCTTCAGGTTCGGTACAGACAAATGTTCAATCTGCAGACCTGTAAGAAGTAATCCTCTTCAGTTTAGAGGCAGGCACATCATAGCCACACTCCTCCAGCACCTCCTGTCGGGCGATCTCCTCCAGGGAGAGGCCAGGTTTGTCCACCAGCCCGGCGCAGAGCTCATAGGTGACCCCCGCTGAGGCTGGGGGCCACTGAGGAGAGCTCTCTCCCTCGGAGGCAGACTGGCCCTCCTGAGACTCGGGGGCCGGGGCAGCGGCGGCAGTGGCTTCAGAGGCGCCCTCCTCAGTTTTTTCAGCAGACTGAGGCGGCTGCGTCTTGGTCCTTTCCCACTCACACATGTATACAGCTGGTGGTGGAAAAGAGAAAATATTGTTATACATGGATGGAAGTAAAACATTATTCTAATTACATTTTTGTTTACTTTTCTCAAATCCATTTAGCCACACATTTGAAATTTTACAAAAACATGTGTCAGGATGTCTATTTCTTACAATAGTTTTTAAAAGATTGTAATAAACTTAAAATTAAGGATTGACAAAATATAGGTTTTACAGATATCTAATTTTAGACAATATAGATACACTTAAATATTTTATTCATTCATTTGGAATTCATTTGCTGCTTTTCTTTGCTTTATATCGTTGCATTTTGGACTGTTGGTCAGCTGTTGAAGATGATGAATTTGGGCTTTTTAGACATTTGATAGACTATTATTGATCAATGAAATAAGTGATAAATATATCAATAATAATAAAAAATAAAAAAACATTAGTTGCAGCCCCACAGGATGCATGTTAATCTTTGAAAGCTTCTTTGTACAGGTAAAATGCTGACTCACACACTGTTTATTCAATTGTAAATATAAATTGGGAAATTCTAATGTTAAGCCCATGTAATATAATCTTTTCCTCTCAGCTGCTCCCCGTAGGGGTCTTCACAGCAGATGATTAGTTTCCATCTCACTGGCAAACCGGGCCCCATCAGCATAGAGATCTGATGATCCGCATATCTGATTTGGCAAAGGCTTTTTACGCTGGATGCCATTCCTGACGCAACCCTCCCCATTTATCCATGCTTGTGACTGGCAATTGGGAATGCACTGGCTTGTGCATCCCCAGTGGCTGGGGAGCAAGCACATGCAAAACTATCTTCATATATGTAGATAATCATCCAGATTTCAAAAATCAGTATAATATCAGGGTTTCCAGCAGAGTTTTATAGTAGAAGCACCCTGCCTCGCTGTAAATACAGAACGCCTCTGCTGACCTCAGAATAAATTATTACATTTTTATGAAAAGGAGCACTTACCAGATATGCTAATCAATTTCCTGAGTGAGACCCTGAATATACTGAAAACTTTTTTATTGGCCTTGCACCACAAACATATTTGTGTATGTATTGTCCAATACCAATAAGCTGACCGATATATATATTGTACACTCCCTGTTTAAAAACAAATGTCATTCTAGGTTGTAGACAAACTCTTAAAGTTCAGTTTTTTTCCATAACAGCAATGAGAGAGGGAGGAAATAAATATATCAATGCCCAGACTTCCTTGAATTTAGAAGTGTGGAACAGTCATGGGCGACGTCTAACAAAGGAGGTTAGGCTGCTTTGTAACGGGGCCACTCGCACTCTATTTATGAGTCTGCATTGTTACTTAAATCCAGTAGATAAACAGGGATTGTAATGTATTTCTTTTTTAGTGAAAGTGCCCACGGGATATTTAACAATCTAGATCTAGCTTGGTGACAAGAAGAAAATGAATTAACTAGATCCCACATAACAGTCTCCTACTTTGTATGGTAAAAAACGTACCTGGACGGAACTGCTTGACGAGGACAAAACAGTGTGAGGTGGTGTTGAAGATCAGCACTGATACACTACGGGGAAAAGAAAAAAGAGGTCAAGATTAAATAAGTCAGACAACTTTTTCTGATAAATCTATGCCTATATCACTGATCTGGTCAGTGTTTCCTACAGGATGGTATGAGACTATGGTGGGTGGACCTCGGACCCTCTCGGGGGGTCAGGGGTCATGCTACCCTGGAAATATAATTTTGTCCATTATAAAGTTAAATGCATTAATCTGGTGCACTTTGAGAGCAATATTAAGCGGCAAGATCAATGAGGAACTTTGTGCTCTAAATTTAAAAAAAAAAAGAAAAGAAACAATGAAAAAATAAAGGGCAACACACTAGCGATGTATGATGCATGACAAAACACACTTGTTTTTCATGCCAACCCATACTCCTCAGCATCCTGTATCAAGATACACCACTATCCTATTTCCCAGCGACGCTCCAGGATAGCAGCAATTTTAGCATATTTGCTCACGCGTTTGACAAATCAATGTACGGCAGCTTGTGATGAATTAAATCTCATTTAAATAAATTTGAAAAGTGCAAATCGCTAAAACTAAAATGAAACTAAAACTGACATTCCTGCAAAAACAAACATTATTCTGAAATACAAGGAGCACATCCTTCCAGATTTAAACGATGCCTCTCAAAAAGAGGGATGTGGAGATAAAATAAGACGGAAGGTCAGTCAGATATGCTTCACCACTGGGACCCAATGAATTGTATATACACAGGTGGTTCACCGTGTGTATGCGAGTGTGACTGTCGCTGCCAGTGGAGACTTCAGGCCTGGGATCTGCGTTGGGAAAGCGGATATGTCTGAGGGGACAGGAAGCCCTGCCCTGTCTTTCCCATGGTGAGAGGGAACTAGGACATTGGTATTCCAATTTGTTAATAGCTACAGTGCCTGGGCTAATACTGATTTAATATCCGTTTGCAACAGACATTTAAAGAAAGTCCAATGTCTATTTTCAACAATACAACCTGGGCATCAAGCATTTCAGTTGTGCCGGGTGGAATCCACACATGATCATGAGCTCATGGACTTATAGTGGGACTAAAATTACGTTTTTGGGAATTGAGGCCTAAGTAAACACACAAGTGGTCAGACAGTCATATTGGTTATAAACAAGCTAACAGTTTAGCCAGATAAGCTTCTGTTTTATTTCTAGGTAAAATCAAAAGTGAGCAAGGATGCACAGGAAAAACTGTAAGTGCGCACAATTACGGCAAGTACAGTAGGTCAAAGTACCAGGTAGTCGTCTCTAGACTGTTTGGGTGCTTATGACTTAATAAATGTGACTTACCTATGGGTTTGTTTACAACCGGTCTATATTTAGAACTGCTGTTGCATTCAAAAATCTCAGCAATTAACTTTGTGAGTACACAATGATATTATTACTGATAGAACCAATGTCCACAGATAATACCAGATACAATATTGCTGTGTGGCCCCGACAACAGCTCCTCACTATGTGAGAGGTAAACAAATGACCTTGATTAAAAAGCCTCTGGTCTATTTTAAGAGATTTCATATCTGGACCCAGCCAGTTATAGAAACCTCTTCCCTGTGGCACTGGTTAGCTCAACGCTAGAGCACGCGCCTCATGTACGAAAGCTGAGTCCTTACAGCAGGAGCCTGGGTTCGAGTCTGACCCATGGCCATTTGCTGCATGTTATGTCCTCTCTCCCTCTCCCTCATTTCCTGTCTCTTAACGGTCCTTTCAGAAATAAAGGCAAAAAAGAAACCTCCTCCCTTTTCCATCACTCCTTCCTTTGCGTTCACCTCCTGGAAAGAGGGCACAGAACACCTTTCCACCTGCTTCTTCCTTGAAAAAGTTTAAGCTTGACTTTTCTCTCCATCATGCCAATGTTTTAGTCTTCGCTTTAATCTACAGATTATGCTGATAATTTCAAAAGGAGAGTAGCCACCAAATTTCAGGATGGGATTCATTTAAAAAAATACCTTTCCCCCAAACCTTTTGGCAGGTATATAACTAAGAAATGAAAAAACAGTTCTGATATTTGTGACAGCCTACAGCTGCACAAGATGTGAGAGAGTATGGATAAGATAATGTGTTAGATTTCCAAAAGTGGGACCCGCAGGCATGAGATGAGGCATGTCTGGGTCCTGTAGTGCTGTTCCACACCATTACTGCTGTTCTACAGCTTCCCGCTGAAAAACAAATGCTCTAATGGTTAAACCAAGAAGCAGGCTAAACAGACGCTCAGGACTTTTCATGCACCGTTAAGCTTTCTCTGTTGGGCTTCTGGCTGGACAGCGGGTTATGGCAGAAATATAAGGAGCAGGACTAAGGTCACTACTGGTTGCACTGCAAAGCTTATGATATCAAGTTATGATCATCAAGCCATTGTCAAACAAGGAACAAACTGGGTTACGTGCTAGATATAATCCATCTTCCGATACCAAAACTGAGGCAATGACACTGGACATTACCAACAAACTCTAGAGACACTTGTTCCTCCTCTAAACTCGATAACCTGTTGCAAATTGAGATTTTATAGTTTTACTTGTTTTAAAAGGTTTTTGTTGTTCATTCTACTCATAATACCCCATAATTACAAGCAAAACATTTTTCTAGCGTATTTCTTTCATCTACTAAACTGAAAGATAGAAATTCTTCATTAACATACAACACTCCTAGCTAGAACACACTTAATTAAGCATAGATGCACCTTATTTCCTCTGATCGTCATTGAGATTCCCTGAAAACTTTGTTGGAGCATACCAGTGGGAAATTAAACTGACTGTGTTACTGTGCTTACAAATTAATCCAAATTAATCCCCTTGCACCCTCCACGTCTATTAGCTGGCTGGGATACACAGAAATACATAATTAAACTCTTCAAAGCAGGTAAAAAGCATGGAAGCGAACAAAGACACATGAGGAGGGCTACAAGAGCTCAACATATGCAAATTATTTTATCTTTCTGTTGCCCATGGTGTCTTAAAAAACAAAAAATACTGTCCGTCATTAAAAGTCACTTCCAGTAATAAACAAGCACTAGTACGCAAACACTCCCATAAACACATAGGTGTCAAAATAACGAAGCAATGGGGGTTTACCCATCTAGTCTCCATGTGTTGTTGTGGATTTGGAGAGGGCTTTTGACCGAATCCCTCTAGACATCTTGGAGCATGGCAGCTAGAGATGCTTTTTGAAGCGTTTTACTATTTTACCAATCCTGGACAGCATCTCAAGATGCAGGCAAGAAATGGTCAGCGCCCAGTATGGAGATTTCAAAATTGCATTTCTACTTTTTGCCACTGATGCAGTTACGTTGGCTTCATCAGGCTGTGACCAGTTCACGTCCAGTTCACAGTACAGCGAATGAGGGTCAGGAACTCCCAGTAGGAGGTGGGCCATGTGATGGAAAATGGTAGATTAACCCTTTCCAGTAGCCTTGGCACCAATTTCATTACCCAAATTAAGGAGCTAAGAGCATCTCTGGTTGAGGGTAAGATTTGGTGGGAGATTGAAGGGAGAATTGGCCGTCTATGGTTAAGGGGTTATACCAGCTTATTCCGAAGGTGCAGCTCACAATTTACCAATAACCCTCCAGCCTTCAATTATGACCCTGAGCTCTGTGGAGTGGTTAAATATACAGATAGGCGAGGGCAAGAGGCCCAACTGACAATGGACACATAGCAGCAACATCCATGGCTCAAAGGCAACCACCGACCCAGCAGTCGCAAATTCCAAGGGAGAAGCAGTGCGGTCAACATCATCAAGAAGGACAGAAGTGTAGAAACCCACATTTAACTTAACTAGGGCTGGGCATGGTAATGCGTTATTATCACGTTAACGCATTAATTAACGCCGACAACTATACACATACAGTCAAACCATGGGTCACAGGAGGGGTGGGATGTATGCCTGCCACCCACCCAACGCGTCGCATACAAAAAGTTCAAGACAATTGAACTTCGGCAGCAGGCCGGCGTGTGCGTGAGGTGACCACTTCACCTCACTCTAACAGGGACACTTGCTACTTAACATAGACTCTCTGATAAAAGAAAAATAATGCAATGGCAGTGGCAAATAGCTTTGGTTTTATATTTGATTTGATTACATTAATGTTTAAGTTGAGATTTACAAGAAATATTGTATTGCTACTGTGTAAAGAGAATACTGCTGGTAAAAAGCACCGTATTTGTTTAAAGTGTTTGCAAACCACATGTTATTGCACTTTTGTGTATATAGCAGTACATAATCTTTTTTTAAAAGTGCGCAATACACAGAATTCATTACACAATTTTGTGCATAACTATGCGATTAATCACAGAAAATCATGCGATTAATTGCAGCACTAAACTTAACACTACTACACTAAGCAAGGGACTAAACTCTTTGTTTAGACATTCATTAAATTAGATATTTTACAGTACGTTACCCACAAATGGATCTTCCACATTTTTGCTAGTGCACCTGCTGAGAAGAAAATGTTATGTGCACTTAAACAAAAATGCAAAACAATCCTGGTCCACTTAATAAGCGCTAAAGGGGAATAACCACTTTGGCAGAATTTGCACCTTGGGGAGAAATGGATGTTCCCATCAGCTATTTTCTTTTGGAAGTAAAGGTTTGAGCTTTACTGCTTTTGTCTCAGTGGTACCATTTTTCACCTCTCCTTGGGGTCAGGGGTGGAAGAGGGCTTAAATGACCTGAGACTTACCTCAGGGCATTACGCTACCCTGGGCAAAACAGGGAGTAGGAATCTGGGTTTTTACACAAGTGTGTGGTATTTCTCTTACAGTGCCCCCTGTGAAGCTCACAGGTTTATAGCCACTGCCAAGTAGGATAACAGGGCACCAGTTCCCAAAAAACAAGCTCTGTTTTTGTTTGACTAACTTCCCAGTATTTGACATCTTTAAGAGATGATAAAGAATAAAGGCATACAAATACCATGAGGGAGAGGTGCTTATAATGTTATAATATAACTCACTTATTTCTTTTACTAGATTTCAATCACAATGCATACACAGCAATACGCATATTGCTTTATTTATACATTTCATGGTACACTAGAAAGTGAAAAAACTAAGAATTAAGAAAAAAAATGTCTGTTTCCATGTGTTTATTAAGAAAGACACTACTTCTCCTAAAATACGTACAGCTGAATTAAAAAAAAATCCTTCAAGTAAAAAGGTCAAGAGCAGATATAAGACTTAGAGTTACAGAGATAAAATGGGTCAAGACTGGTGCAAATCAAGCTCCCAGGGCTCAGATCACCAGATCCCTGATAGCTAGAACAGATTCAGATACTTAAGCAACAAGCTTTTCAGATTGCAAATTATCTCCTGACATGAACATGCAGCTTTTATTTACAATTTAAAGCTATTTCATTGGCAGACATTTTTAAGAGGTGAAATTTTGACTGTGCAAGCCAAACTCCATTCTGTTTTGGGACAATTTCACATCAATGTTTCTAACACATTTGTTAATCTCTTCTGGAAAAAAGTGGGTTCGACAATTTACCAGCAAGTTGTACCATGTTTCTGTACGCTGTACCTTGACTTGTTTTTGTACAACGGCCTTAAGCTTGACAGAAGCTGACACTACAGAAACTTTAGTGCCACACAGGGAATGAAAGTAGCACCGGCCAACCGGCGGGTAACTTAGTGGTGGCGGTGGGTGAAATCATCGGGCCATCCGCCGCTTTGACGGACAGAAAAAACGCACAACAGAAAGGCACGTGTAGTAAGGTAAGCGTATTGTGGTGAACGGCGCCAGCGTCACACACACAGCCACCAGTCAGCCCAGGAAGTATCTGTGAAACAGCATTTGAACCAAACGCAGAAGTCTGAAAGAGGCCCGGTCTGTCCCGAGTTACAGCCAGTGCGCTACTTACCTGCATCGGAGGCCGCGGGGGTGGGGGGATCTCCGGTGTTGTCAGCAAATTAATAAGCTTGTCTATTAAACACGAGAGGCGTCACTTGGTTTTATTTTTGTTGGCCAACTTTTGAACTCTACCTCAAACCGAGTATTTTTTGTTTGCTTACCGGGATATAGAAAGAAGAACTCCTAGGAGATTTGAACGGAGATAAGGATACTTCTTCTCCACCATTGCTCATAATAATTCATGCAATTCATGCATCACCTAATTTCATCATAACACAGGCCTAACCCACAAGAAAGTACAGTGTACGTTTAATCTAATATTGTGTTGGTCATACTATACACTTGATCTATTGCTTGTCTGTTTTGAATAATACAGAAGGTAAACAGCTTAAAAATGAATTGCATATTAAAACGCAATCACAATATTGGTTAAAAAATACACAATTAGATTATTTTCCAAAATCGTTAAGCCCTAACCTGTGCATACATAGAATGAGAGAACAAGGGCACTGCTTCTACCCAACAGTTCAGAATAAATTGTGTTTTACCTGTCATGGGTTCGCATGAAGTCCCAGGATTTCTTTGTGCCATTCTGTAAAGGAATAAAACAAACATCATAAATAAATACAATAAAAGCAACAATATTTTAATCCTCAAACCATGTGGTTTGACAGTTTAGTGAAACATAAGTGTATGCAAAAAGAGTGCAAGTGTACCACAACTCACTTTGTTGTATGTAACATGTGTGGAAGGATGTCAAATTACCCATTGTTTATTTAATATGAATACTGTAGGGGCTGTAGCTCTGTAAACAGCATGTGAAAGAAAAATGCAAACTTTAATTCTAATAATTACTTCAATACTGTTTTAAAACAGAAGCCAAAACTTTGCATAAGAAATAGTAATGCATGTTTTCTCTGTATAATGGCAATCATATGCCATCAGAGAGTCTCAATCAGTGACTGTTTCTTATGCATCCTCAGTCGGAAAATGATTCACAGTCCACACGCCTTTACAAGCTGGATTGAGTTGCAGGGAAAGTCTCCTGATGACTAAATACAAAAACATGTCTTGAAGTTATTGAAGTCACAGAAGTTGTTGTAACAAAATATTTACATGCCCTGTAGTCGCACCACATCAACCAGTTGTGATTCCAGTAAATTTCCAGCAGCAAAATTACAATCCCCCCGCGACCCTGTACGCAGGATAAGTGGATGACGATGGATGGACAATTACAATCAAATGGGCGAAGCAGGTGTGTGACCAGCACATTGACTGTTAACTCGTCACTTTGCAGTGAGCGTAAAGGGACAGTGAGCAATCCTGTATGCTTCCATCCATTAGTCTTGTTCATTTTGAGGATATTTTCATTCATACCAGGTTAAGCGAGGAAAGGTATAGTTCAGGGTGCCAAAAAGTATTAAGGTAAATCAAAATTACATGGAATTCATCTCTTCCTTTCACTTTACTTTTAGTGTGAAGTCAACAAATAGTTCTCATCCAAGTGCCTGCCGCTGTGGCTCAGTCTGCACGAAGGACTGACTTCAGCCCTGCTTGTTTTTAGTTTAAAACATTACCATATAAATATGGTTGTGGTGAGTCTGCAAAGTCTGGTCACTAGAAAATACTGGTGGGTCAGTTCTGCAAGGCAGAAATGGTAAATTAAGCAGCTGTAACAGTGAATGAGTGAGATGAAGAGCTGCAGGGGGACAGGCAATGTCATCAAGGCAAGTAACCCTTTTACAGAACTATTGGTTAATATAATTTGATCAATTCATTCTTAAAGGTAAATTCCGATTCAACTAGATCTAGACAGATAAATCAGCCAGGCTTACATATCGAATGATATTTGGCTATCGCAGATATATCTGTATGGGTGTACACGTTTATGGATCGGAGAGCACTAACAAGTACATTTTTCTACTGTAAAATGTCTCGATCCATATGTATCAATTCAATTCAATTCACCTTTATAGACATGAATTAGGGATGCACCGAAATGAAAATTCTTGTCCGAAGCCGAATATAATGAAATTTTTTTTTTTACCATTGCATAAATTCATTAGTGAAAATGTGCTTTTCACTCAGTGTTTCCCACAGGATTTGGAGAGACTATGGTGGGTGGGTCCAAGGCCCAAGAGAGTCAGTGTAAGTAAATTACATGCGTCCATTTAGTTTTAATGTAAATATGTAATATGTTTTATACTTTCTGTGAATTTAATCCAATTAATATTATTTCCATATTGTATAGACACCTTATTTTGAAAACCGGACGTTGTCACATGTGTATCGTCAGGCTAAATTCAAAAAGTCCGACCCAATTTGATAAATAACGTTGTATGTGGTTCTCGTATCGCGCAACATGAAGCTAGCTTCAGGTAGGATTCTCATACTGCAACACTTGTCTTTGTAAAGAGAGAAACTGACAGGATAAAGTTGCTAACCTGCCTGTCAGCTTGCATTGGTCAGGTTACCATAAAGACTTGAATACGTGTGCACTACAAATGTAGGTGCGGCTAGCTTAATCGCCTTCTCAGAAACGAGTGACAGAAACACTCAAAGTGGGACAGACCGTTTGCTGCATTTTCTAAGAAGCCAGCCACAGATGGAGTGGATGTGCTAGGAGACAATTCAGCAGAAGAGTGTGTGCAAATGGTGATTTTTGCGTCTTTCTCTGACACTTTAATATGCTTCCACACTGCCGACATGTCAACGTAATTGGAAAAACTAAATCAGTCTTTTGACTTACTAGGCCAAACACCAAAAGTGCTTTTTTTGCTATTTTCGGCTGATTAATTTCGGTGGCCGGACATTCGGTGCATCCCTAACATGAATGGAAAACAACAATAGCTACAAATCAATTACAAAAGAACAATTAGTTTAATACATTTCATTAAATAAATAAAACAGTAAACGTGTGTGTGTGTGTGTGTGTGTGTATTAATAGACAAAAAATAAAAAAATAAAAAAAAACTAAAAAAAATCTGTATCAAATGTGAAATAAAAACAAAAAACATACATACATACAACAATAAAGGAACAATTACTAAAACAACAAACAATCAAAATAATAACATAATAATATTATCTTGGTCAAAAGTCTTTAATAAAACAAATCTAAGCCATCCATATAATGATTGTTTATTTATGTTATGTGTTTATGTTATATAAAATATTTACTATCTATGAATGAACTACTGGTATCGGCCCAAAAAAATCCAGTATCAGTTTCCGATAAACATGACCAATGTCACTCTATGGGTCACACTAACTTTGCACTTACCTCCTCTGTTTTAGCGATTTGGGGAAAAAAGGACTTGTGCAAGACGCGTATCAAATTGTGTGAGCCTCTAACAGCTTTACATATAAACATGATTTTTACATGAATCATTTCCAACACTCAGTCCAACTAAAAGTAAAATTCTGCCCTCTGGAATGGTAATTACTGCACGGGATGATCTACATCCAGGTCAGCTTGCTGGCTGAATAAGTTGTTTTGTGACCCACAGAGTCACAATGACCACATTTAACGCTAATCGGTCAATCATCTCAAGTGATTAAATTAAATGAGTTAAGTCTGGGGAATGAAAATAGTCAGACAAATTACTGTTATTTGAGTAACATTTGCCGCACACTACAAACCAGCAAAGATGTGTGAATTAACCTGAAACATAAACTTAGTGTAATATATTCCACTTTCCACATTACATGCTGTATAAATATGGTAAAGTTGGCCTACATTTTCCATGCCTGAGGAAATATGGCCTTGATTCAAATTTAGGCTACACCTCCTCTCCACCCACCAGCTCTTTCAGATGCAGGCATGACAGTTTACTAGAACAGGCTACAATAGATGTGCCTGTTTGTGTGTGCATTCGGTGGAGCAGTTTTAGTACCACCCAAGAAATGGGAGGAGGTGAGATGGCAAGATAATAGCACTCATGGAATCAGACATAATAAATCTACTGCGGTGGCAACAGGTTTTGAGTTAAGATGAGCCACTGTTCGAGAGATGGAGCTGCTTAGAGCTGCAATGTGAAACTGCAGATTTCTATCTAAAAGTGAATACATTGCAACTGGCTGATATGACTGATTGAAGAGTGTGGGAGTTAATGTCCTTTCACACAAGACACTCTGGAGAATGTTTAGAAATATGTTCTAAAAGAAGTATATTGTGGAAAAAATTATTCAGATATGTCTCAACAATATTGTGCAACCAAAAACAACAATACAACAAACTACAACCTGCTGAAGTTGTATGAACTCTCTGAAAAAGACTAAAACAGAAGTGAGAACTAAAGCACACTTTGTGTCAGTTTGAAAATATATAGTTTATTTCAGGGCTTTTGGCTTCTGTTGACCTCTGCTAAATCTGACAAGACCTGTGACCAGCTCCTTCTATCAACAATTGGCTAACCTGCACTTCATTAAGTGGCTTTTTCAACTGGATATCATAATTAACACCCCTTTTTAACAGAGATGATAGTAGTATAAGACTGAAGAATGCACCACAATGCATCGACAAAAGCTTTACTCAATCAGTTTCTATTGTACAATAATGAAAAAAATTGATTCAGGAAAAAACAAGTCCTTTAAAATCATCTCAACAAATGGTCAAACAACCGACGCATGACCTAACGGGTCACGGCCACAGGACCTCAATGTGAAGCCAAGCTAGCATAATACCGTTCATGCATCATTAACGCTCATGTTGTGGTGTGAAATGAGAGTATGAAGCTAGGGTTTGTGTAGTTTTAGTTATGGTATTGCTATCGCATCACCTTTATCTACCGTAACAGCTATTATGTCACGTCTATGATAGGGAATTACTGTAAGCTCATTTAAATACTGATCAGCAACGCACCTGAATCTAAAAAAAAAAGGTTTGCAATCATTTATATTACACATATTTATCAAAGTAGTTTAAGATATGCATGTGCTGTGACAGAACTGAATTGATTGTTAAACATTAACATAAACATTATTTTTAAACTTTTGCTAAAGTTTAAACTTTTGAAACTTTAAAAATTAATTTAAAAAACTGACCATTACTTACAGTTGCAATTTGCTTATGAATGTGTAACAACAACAACAAGCTCAGACAGTGCTGAAAAATGATTATTTAACTTTGATTATTTAATTAGGCTAATCATTTAAGTCACTTGTCAAGTAAAAATACGAAATATTCACTGGTTTCAGCCTTTCCAATCTGACAATCTGCTACTTGTCTATCTTTTACATGAAAAGATGTAAAGCATGATGGATGAAAAAAATCTATCCATATTTTGTTTAAAACGTCTCACACTGCAGTCATTTACATACTAAGTCAGTAAGACCAAAAGAAAGAAGTGATACCAATCATCTTTTCTCTCGCTGTCAGCCATTACGAACGCAATGACATCATCGAATCTCCTCACTGTGGAGTCACGTCCTGAAAGATGCTCTGCCTGCCCTGCACACAGTCTATTAATATGTAATTACCCCCACAAAAACCTGTCAAGAAAGTGTGCGAGTGTCTTACACGCTATCATTTCTCCTTGAGGCAACGCCAGCCGCACCCCGCACATTTTTCCTCTGTGAAAGCAAAAGTGG